ATTCTGGTATATACAAACCAGAAATATTGTCTGGAAATCTGTGAAAGTAGTTTTTGGCTCAGTGGGAGAGGAATTTGTAGTTAGATGGTCTACATTTGAATTTCTTATTTCAAACTGTACACCATCTCCTGGAAAACAGCAGCGTATTCTTTAGCCAAATTTAATCATATAACGAGTGTTTTCTATAATACACCATCACCTGTCCTTTGTCTAGATTTACTTAACTACAAAATGGGACTCTCTGCACTTCCTGGACTTATTTCTCTCCCATGTTAGGGAAGTTTTCAACTATAAGCTCTTCAAATATTTTCTTAGACTTGGTTTAAAGCTGGTTTTGTGATGCTGAATTCTCTTAACTTTTGCTTGTCTGTAAAGATTTTAATTTCTCCATCAAATCTGAATGAGATCCTTGTTGTGTAGAGGAATCTTGGTTATAGGTTTTTCCCTTTCATCATTTTAAATATGTCTTGCCACTCCCTTCTGGCTTGCAGAGTTTCTTCTGAAAGATCAGCTGTTAAGCTTATGGGGATTTCCCTTGTATTTTATTAGAGCCTATTGATGAGATAGTGTTTGTTGTGTAGGCGTCTGGGTAGTCGGAGTATCGTCGAGGTATACCGGATAGGCCTAGGAAGTGTTGCAGGAAGAATGTTAGGTTTACACCTACGAATATAATTATAAAGTGGATTTTTGTTCTTGTTGGGTTGAGTGTATATGCTGAAAATAGTGGGAATCAGTGGACAAACCCCCCTATGATGTCGAAGACAGCTCCTATTGAAGGTACGTAGCGAAAGCGGGAGACTACGTAGTAGGTATCGTGGAGAGCAATATCTAGTGATGAGTTAGCTAGGACGATGCCAGTTAGGCCGCCTACTGTAAATAGGAAAATAAAGCCTAGGGCTCATATTAGAGCGGGAGATCATTTAATATTCCCTCCGTGAAGTGTTGCTAGTCAACTAAAGACCTTTATTTACTCTTGTGGGGATAGCAGTAATTATAGTGGCTGATGTAAAGTATGCTCGTGTATCTACGTCTATAAAAACTGTGAATATATGATTAGCCAATACGATAAAGCCTAGGAACCCAATAGAAACCATAGCTTAAACTATTCCTATATATCCGAAAGGTTCTTTTTTCCCTGAGGTTACAATATGTGATATTATTCCGAAGCCAGGTAGGATTACAATATATACTTCAGGGTGACCAAAGAATCAAAATAAGTATTAGTAGAGGATTGGGTCACCTCCTCCTGCGGGATCAAAAAAGGTTGTGTTTAGGTTTCGGTCAGTCAACAGTATGGTAATTCCGGCTGCTAGGACTGGTAGTGATAATAATAGTAATACTGCTGTAACTAGGACTGATCATACGAACAGGGGTGTTTGGCACTGGGTTATAGCGGGTGTTTTTATATTAATAATGGTTGTAATGAAATTGAGGGCTCCAAGTATTGAGGATACGCCGGTTAGATGTTGAGAGAAAATGGTAAGGTCTGCTGAAGCTCCTGCATGTGCTAGTTTTCCGGCTAGAGGGGGGATATAGTTCAGCCCGTGCCTGCGCCGGCTTCAACTATTGAGGATGCTATTAGTAGTAGGAAGGAAGGAGGAAGTAGTCAGAAGCTTATGTTATTTATACGGGAAAAGCTATGTCAGGTGCCCCAATTATTAGAGGGACTAGTCAGTTTCCGAACCCACCAATTATGATAGGTATGACCATGAAAAAAATTATCACGAAGGCATGGGCTGTTACTAGTACGTTGTAAACTTGGTCATCTCCGATTAGTTTGCCAGGTTGACCTAGTTCAGAGCGAATTAATAAGCTTAGGCCAGTGCCTACTATTCCTGCTCAGGCACCAAATAACAGGTATAAGGTACCAATGTCTTTGTTGAGAATAGTCAGCGATTTATGAACATAGGTAAAAAGGCCGAGTATGTATTAGACTGTAAATCTGAAGACAGGGATAAGGTCCTCTTTTTGCCAAGTCCTGTGGTGAATTATCATTTTGAATTGCAAATTCAAGGAAGCAGCTTCAATACTGCCGGGACTTCTCCCGCCTTTTTTTTCTCATGGCGGGAGAAGTAGATTGAAGCCAGTTGACTAGGGTATTTAGCTGTTAACTAAAAGTTCCTGGGAGATGTATGCCTTCAATCTAGTGAGGATTTAGCTTAAAGCATTTGATTTGCATTCAGTTGATGTAAGGTACAGTCTTGCAATCCTTACTGGGCAGGGGTTAAGTAAATTATACTTGCTTAGGGCTTTGAAGCCTCTTGGTCTGATTTAACCTAAACTCCTATAGTAAGATGAAGAATGTTGGTGTGAGAGGTAAGAGTACTGTGGATAATACGATTGCTGTTGGTAGAAGGATTATTCGTTTTGTGGAGTGAAATTGTCATTTTATTTTTATGTTGTTTGTAGAGGGAAATAGAGTTAATGCTGTGGAGTATGCGAGGCGTATGTAGAAATATAGATTGAATAGTGCTGTGATGGCTATGAAGGTTGGTATAACAAGAATTTCGTTTTTTGTTATTTCTTGAATAATTATTCATTTGGGTATGAATCCTGTAAGTGGGGGAAGTCCTCCTATGGAGAGTAAAGTGAGTATGGTGAGGGTTGTAATAACAGGCATTATATTTCATGTTTGGAATAATGATAGTGTGGTGGTAGTTGAGTTTTGGATGAATAACATGAATATGATGAAAGTTATTGTGATGTAGATTAGTAAATTTAGTAAAGTCAGGGTTGGGTTGTATAGTAGGATAGTTGTTATTCATCCTATGTGGGCGATTGATGAGTAGGCTATAATCTTTCGGAGTTGCGTTTGGTTTAGTCCGCCTCATCCTCCGATTAGGATAGAGAGTAGAGAGAGTTAATATTAGGTGTAGATTAATTGATGGTGAGATTTGATAGAGGATTGAAAGGGGTGCAAGTTTTTGTCATGTAAGTAGGATTAGGCCTGTAGTTAGGGAGACACGTTGTGTAACCTCTGGTTCTCAGAAGTGGAAGGGGGATAGTCCTAGTTTAAGAGCTAGGGCCACTGTTATTAGGATGGATGCTGTTGGGTTGAATAATTTTGTGATGGTTCATTGGCCGGAATGTAGTAGGTTAATGATAACTGCTAGTATGAGTAGTGTGGATGCAGTGGTTTGTGTTAGGAAATATTTAGTTGAGGCTTCTGTGGCTTGGGGGCTAGCATTTTTTTAATTATGATGGGAATGATGGCTACTGTATTTATTTCTGGTGCAAATCGGGCTAATAGTGGGAGCTAATAGTTACGATTATTGTGCCTAGGATGAGGGTTATTAGGATAATGATGAGGATGAATGGGTTTATTAGTATGGAAAGAATATAAACCAACATTTTCGGGGTATGGGTCCGACAGCTTGTTTAGCTGACCTTACTATAGATTATAGTGTGACATGGTAGCACGGAGAATTTTGAATTCTTAGGGGTAGGTTAGATTCTTATTATTCTAGAAATAAGAGGGTTTGAACCTCTATTATTACTCTATCAAAATAACTCTTTTGTCAGACATATTTCTTATCTTTTATGTTTGAGAGGGGATGCCTGTTGTTATAATGGGTAGTGAGACGTGTCATTTACAGAGGGCTAGTGTTGGAGGAAATTTTTTCAGAGTAGGTGTATTAATTGATCATATCGGAATCCAGGGTCGGATGCTCGAATTCATAGGAAAGATATTGTGAGTAGTAGTGTTTTGAGAATGAGGTTTGTTATGTGTAGTTCTGGTGTGTAGGGGTCGTGCAATGCTCCTAGAAAGAGGATAGTTATGAATATATTTATCATGATGATGTTGGCATATTCTGCTAGGAAGAATAGGGCGAAAGGGCCTGCTGCATATTCCACATTGAAGCCGGATACGAGTTCTGATTCTCCTGTTAGGTCGAAGGGAGCCCGGTTAGTTTCTGCTAGGGTAGAAATGAATCATATTATGGCTAATGGTCATGAAGGAAAAAAATGTCATAGTTGTTCTTGTGTGGTAGTTAGTGTGGATAGCGTAAAGGAGCCCGTTATTGGAGTAGTGATAGGAGGATGATGGCTAGTGTTACTTCGTATGAGATTGTGCTACTGCTCAGAGAACTCCAATTAGTGCGTATTTTGAGTTGGAAGCTCAGCCGCATCATAGGATAAAGTAGACGGTTAGGTTGGATATTGCTAGCATGAATAGTACTCCTAGGCTTATGTTGATGAGGGGATATGGTATGAGTGGGGGCTTCATATTGTGAGCGCTAAGGTTAGGGCAAGCGCGGGTGCGATGATGAATATAGCGGTGGAGGATGTGGCTGGTCGTAGGGGTTCTTTTAAGGAATAGTTTGCATCGGCAAATGGTTGGAGCAAGCCATGTGGGCCCACGATGTTTGGTCCTTTTCGGAATTGTATATAGCCTAGGATTTTACGTTCCACTGATGTTAGGAATGCTACAGCTAGGAAGATAGGGAGAGCGAGTGTTACGATGTTAATTATAAACATTTTGTTGGGGAGAGGATTTGAATCTCTGGGTGTAAAAGTTTTTTTATGCAATTGCCGTACTCTGCCACCTCAACAAAGCCCTGGTCTTGGGCAGGTATATTTGCGCTTGTTTTAAGTTGAGATTAGACCATTAATTATTTGAAGGCGCTTGTTTGAAGTTGGCCTTATTTCTCTTGTCCTTTCGTGCTGGGAGAAATGCGTGATAGAAACCGACCTGGATTACTCCGGTCTGAACTCAGATCACGTAGGACTTTAATCGCTGAATAAACGAACCCTTAATAGCGGCTGCACCTTTAGGATGTCCTGAACCAACATCGAGGTCATAAGCTCTATGGACTTTAGAATAGGACTGCGCTGTTATCCCTAGGGTAACTTGTTCCGTTAATCAAAATTTTGGATCAATAAGTGATACTATGCTTTGGCTAGTAGGCCTAGGCTTTAATCACTCGGAGGTTTTTTGTACTCCGAGGTCACCCCAACCGAAACTGTCAACCCATACAAAACTTTGTTATCCCTTGAAGCTCCATAGGGTCTTCTCGTCTTATTTTGTTATCCCCGCCTCTTCACGGGGAGGTCAATTTCACTGATTAAAAGTAACAGACAGTAAAACCCTCGTGTGGCCATTCATACAAGTCCTTATTTAGAGAACAAGTGATTATGCTACCTTTGCACGGTCAGGATACCGCGGCCGTTTAACGATTGTCACTGGGCAGGCAGTGCCTCTAATACTGGTTATGCTAGATGTGATGTTTTTGGTAAACAGGCGGGGTTTGTGTTTGCCGAGCTCCTTTTACTTTTTTTAATCTTTCCTTAATACACGCCTGTGTTGGGTTAACAATGTGTTTAATAAATAATTTAGTGTTGGGTTATATTTATTAACTGTTAATTATCAGTATATTGTCAGTTACTGATGTAAGCTTGTGCGAGGCGAAAAATTTGTTACTCATGTTAACAGTATTACTTCTATAGTTGAATAGATTAGTCCAATAGTCAGGCTAGGCGTTGATTTATTTATTGTTGAAATTAAAACGTAGTTTTGTTGTTGAGCTTGAACGCTTTCTTAATTGGTGGCTGCTTTTAGGCCAACAATGGTTTAAGTTTATATTACCCTCTAGTAAATGTATCCATTTCTAAAAAGCTGTACCTTTATAGACTAACAATTAAATATACATTAAAACTTGATGTGGTTTTTAGTATTATTTAATGTTGAACTGAAATTCCTTTCTTGGACCACCAGCTATCACTTAGGCTCGTTAGGCTTTTCACCTCTACTTATAAGTCTTCTCACTATTTTGCCACATCGATGAGTTTGTTCTAGTTACTGCTTGTAAGTAGCTCGTCTGGTTTCGGGTAATTTAGCTTAAGGTCTCTTTGCTAAGTTATTACTAGTTAAGTCATTATGCAGAAGGTACAAGAGGTAAGTTTTGGTTTTTTTTTACTATTAATATTTCTTTAATTTTTCCCTTATGGTACTTTCTCTATAGCGCTATTGGTGGTTAAATTTCTATCTCCTATACTTTAGATGTATGGTGAATGTTTTGATTAGTTTATGGTACTAGCGGTGGGGAGGGTAAGGGCTATGTATGGTTCAAGATTTTCACGGATTGTGGAATCTTCTAGGTGTAAACTAGATGCTTTGTTTAAGCTATATCTTGTTTTATCGAAGCACACTTTCCAGTATGCTTATCTTGTTACGACTTGTCTCCTCTCGTATAAATGCTTAGCATAGGTTAGTGATCTGGGGTTTTGCTGTGATTCTTGAGGAGGGTGACAGGCGGTGTGTGCATGTTACATGGCCTTATTCAATTAAGCACTTTGCTCTTAATTTACTACTAAATCCTCCTTTAGTTTTTAAATTTCATAAAAACTTTCGTGTTGCTATAAGGGGTGTTCTTATTATAGAAAATGTAGCCCATTTCTTCCCATCCCATATAGGTTACACCTTGACCTAACGTTTTTATGTATGGTAGTTATGCTTACTTTCGTTCCCTTTTAGGGTTTGCTGAAGATGGCGGTATATAGAAGGAAGTAGCAAGGGTTGGTGAGGTAAATGGGGTTTATCGGTTACAGAACAGGCTCCTCTAGAGGAATATGAAGCACCGTCAAGTCCTTTGAGTTTTAGGCTGCTGCCAGTAGTACTCTGGCAAATAGTCTTGTTTGGGGACTACTTAAGTTTACGACTAAGCTTAGTGGGGTATGTAATCCCAGTTTGGGTCTTAGTTGTCGTGTATTCAGATTGTACTAATGTCACTTTCGTGGTTTGGCTTAGTGTTAATTATGGCTTTTTACAGCTTAATTGGTATTTGATTTTATTTTGTATGGTTCCTTAACACTCTCTACGCCGGGTCTCTATTAATTTGGGTCAATCGTATGACCGCGGTGGCTGGCACGAAGTTTACCAACCCTAGCTAACATGACTTAGTCAAACTATCGTTCATGGTTTAATTTTTATCACTGCTGTGTCCCATGGGGGTGTGGCTAAGCAAAGTGGCGTGAGTTGCTAGTGTAGCGTGCTTGATACCCGCTCCTTTTGATCTTTTCGTGATTTGGAGGGCATTCTCACCGAGGTGTAGATGCTTGCATGTGTTTGTTAGTCTGTTAAGAACTAATAGAAAGGCTGGGACCAAACCTTTATGTTGATGGGGCTGGCGAAGCCCAATCTAGATATTTTCAGTGTCTTGCTTTATGAAAAATTGAAGCTACATTAACCTGTGGAGTTTAAAAGATGTTTGTATAATTTCATTACGGGGCTTGTGTCAGATAGTATTGATTACGAAAAAAATATTCGTAGATCTAAGGACGAAGCTGTCTAGGGGGGTGGTGAATATCTAAGCAGATGGTCAGTTTTGTAGGAGGTAAGGGGGTTTTGATCCACTACGAGATACAGTTTTTTGAGCCCAGGGGGAATAGTGGAGTACTATGTCCTGTAACCATTAATTTAATTGCACATGTTGGTTGTGCTAGTCAAATCAAAAATACATACAAGTCCAGCTACAGTTTGCTTGACTGTGATGAGACATTTTAAGGTCATAGCTGAGCCTGTGCAGGACCCCCCCCCCCCAAAAAATACCAAATGTATGGAATCTCAGTTATGTGTGAGCATGGGCTGATTAGTCATTAATCCATCAAGATGTCTTATTTAAGGGGAACGAGTAGGCGATTTTACGTTAAAATGGTCCTGAAGAACCAGATGTTTTATAAAGATCACCGTTAGCTACCATCCCCTATTTGAATACACCGCTGTTAGAACTGAGATCAGTTGAGAGGAAATAGAGACAGCAATGGCTGGTATTGACCGTGGAGGAGGCCACTTCATTCATTGGGTGGTGCTGGGAGGAAGAGAGAGTTGATAAGTATAAATGAAGCTTTTCCTCTTTGCCTACTCCCCCAGTGTGTCTGCTCTTCCAGGGTGGCCTCCACTGGATTCAGAGTGCATCTTCAATGTGTCCTGGGCACTCAGCTGGCGACTGCAGTGTGGGTGGCCACCAGAGAGAAGACAGACACAAGAATGCTGCTGGGTGAACTGAGCTATCTAGTAGCCCTGTTGAGTGTCATGGTCCACTAGTTATAGAAAACTAAAAGGATAATGATAATTTTTAAATTTCCGTAGTGAATATCTTGAAGATACATGTAGCTTTCTGCATTCCATGGTGATTCATCTGGAAGTTGCTAATCAGGCAGTAAAATTTAATTCCAATGCACAGTCTTCATAAAAATGTGAAATCCAAAATATTATTAAAAAGCAGCGTTACAGTAAGCTAAGCTATTGAGTGCATAGGTCTCTGGTGAGTGAATAATAAGGAAATGAAATAACGTTTACTAGAAGTAAATACTCAAATGTCAGTTAAACAACCGCACCGTTATCTTCAGGTCATAGAATCTGGATAGCTTTTGTCCTAAGGTACTGAGGGTATAATGTCCATTTACTGCATGAGGCTCGTCTTCCTCAGCTGTCCATCTTGGATCCACAGATCTCCTCCCTCCTTGCTCCTCTGAACCAGTGGTCATGCTCACCGCAGACACATTAGCGTTCAGACTTATTTACTGCTCTACTCTCAGATTCTGCCATTTCTACAGGGACCTCCCCTCAGGCCAACTTCCTAAGGCAGAGCCTCACCTTGATTGTAGCAGGTGCACCCTGCTCTGTTGTTAGGCATGGATACCATATTCATTTTTTTCCCCTCAGTACAGCAAGCTTCACTGGCAGTCAGCCACATCTGCTTTTCTCCACTGCATGTCGTTTTTTGTTGAGGGCCTAGACAGAATGTGGGCTCTCTATATATTTACAGAATAATTGAAAGAGTGGAAGAAAACACCTACACTCCAGTGAAATCTAGGTTGGAATAGAAGGCAGTTAAAAATAGGAAAAGATTGGCTAAAAAAGCCACTTTCTTTCATTCTTGGTCAGGTAGAATACAAATTAATCTATTTCCCAGATAATAAAATTCCTGTTCCTGATGAAAATCCAATACGATAAAAATTCAGTTATATTCCTTTTATTAACCAAAGACACAATTAGAAATTCTGTGTTCAGTAACTCTAAAACAAAACGTTTTGCCTTAGATGTTCCATGATCCAGTGGAGTTTATCTCAGGTATGCAAGGATTCTTCAATATACGCAAATCAATCAGTGTAATAAAGCATATCAACAAATTAGAGAAAAACAATATGACCATCACAATAGATGCAGAAAAAGCTTTTAACAAAATTCAACACCCATTTATGATAAATACTCCCCAGAAAGTGGTCATAGAGGGAACCTACCTCAGCATAACAAAGGCCATATATGACAAACTCACAGCAAGTATGATTACTCAAGGGTGAAAAACTGAAAATATTTCCTCTAAGATCAGGAATAAGACAAGGTTGCCCACTCTCACCACTATTATTCTACATAGTTTTGGACTATTTAGCCAAAGCAATCAGAGAAGAAAAGGAAATAAAAGGAATACAAATTGGAAAAGAAGACATAAAACTGTAACTGTTTGCAGATATGATACTATACATAGAAAATCCTAAAGAGGCCACCAGAAAACTAATCAATTAATTTGATAATGTTGCAGGACACAACATTAATGCACAGAAATCTCTGGAATTCCTACACATCAACAACCAAAAATCAGAAAAAGAAATTATAACACTCCCATTCACCACTGCAACAAAAAGAGTAATATACCTAGGAATAAACCTGCCTAAGGAGGTGAAAGACGTACTCAAAAAACTATAAAACACTGATGAAATAAATCTGACATACACAGGTGCAGAAATATACCATATTCTGAGACTGGAAGAATCAATATTTTGAAAATTACTATACTACCCAAAGCAATCTACACATTAAAAGCAATCCATATTAAACTACCAATGGCATTCTTCACAGAACTAGAATAAAAATTTTTTAAATTCATATGGAAACACAAAAGACTCTGAATAGCCAAGACAATCTTGAGAAAGGAAAACGGACTTGGAGGAATCAAGCTGGGAAAACAGGACAGCTACATGTGAAAGAAAGAAATTAGAACAATCCCTAATACCATACACAAAAATAATTTCTAAATGGATTAAACACTTAAAAGTAAGATCAGACCCTATATATTTCTTTCTTCTTATAGAGAAACATAAGAAAAACACTCTTTTACATAAACCACAGCAAGATCTTTTTTGACCCACCTCTTAGAGTAACGGAAATATAACAAATATAAACCAAAGGGAACTAATTAAACTTAAAGGCTTTTGCACAACAAAGGAAACCATAAACATGACAAATGAGAACATTCAGAATGGGAGAAAATATTTGCCAATGAAA